GGTCATTTTTTAACTGTGTTGAAGTTAGTAAGATGTAAACTTCATATTATCACAAATATCAGGAAAAGCGGAATCAAATTAAGTATACATTGCAGTATAATTTAACAGATAAATGGTGCAAAGTTGGCATACTGGCAACGAGGTGGTKTGTCATTGAAGGAAAAAATGATAGAGAGTCGAGTTAACATCAAATATATCCTTTTTATTGATATCTTTTTCATGACTAATAAGACAGATATTTGAAATATAAGTTTCAGTTCAATTATTTTATGTAATTTTGATAGGATTTGATATAAATAAATCTGATCACACAATTTGAATCAGTCCCCTTCATACATTTCTTAATTAGCTCATTTAAAATCCAGAGGTTTTTTTTGTTACTTCTATCTTGGGGATTTTTAATTGGTTTTTCATTAAGTCTTATATRAATAAAGTTGTACGTGTGGATTAATCTCTCTGTATRKAWTGKAAGATTTTTGTTTCGAAKAGTTCTTTTCATAAATGGAAGTAAYGCGTTTTTTAATTGAAAGRTACATGTTTGGAAAAGAAACTCGACTTTTTGAATAAAGTTATGCWTTAAAAGCTTACTGAATAAGTCACAACCAAACAGTCATATAGCTGGCTGGATAAACAATAATTAAACTGCCAATAAACATGCCCTTAAATATAAAATTATCTTGTCAAGACTTATCTGATCAAAAGAATAATATATCAATGATTTTTTACATCCCATTCAAGTGAGAATTGATTAGTTTATGGTAACAGTGAGATCCAATGTGAACCACTCATTTTAGATATTTAAGAATATTTCTTAAATAAGCTAAAAAGGTAATATAATATTTATATTTTTGACAACTAATCAAAATATTTAATTAAATTTTTTATAAGAAAATATTTAATTAAAATTAGTTACCCAGTATATCAATTACCTAATATACATCGTATTTTAAAAACGTTTATGAATCAAAGTGTATCATAGTGATAACGTTTAGAATGTTTCACGTGTATCACAATGCATTTTGTTTGTTTTATGAAATGCATCATATTGTGCATTTTGTATGTATATCTGGGTATCACAGTGAATATCAATTATAAACATCACCGTGTGTATCTTGTACTCACATAAGGTTCATCGAAATAAGGTTTACCGGAAAGAGAAAATATGAGAGATGATATTTATAAACCCCTAAAATGCACATAATTAATATTTTAAAATCACCAAAATTATTAATTTTTCAATTTAATCTTAAATTTATGATTCAAATTGGATCTCACAGTTAAAAAAAACTGTTCTAATTTGATTATATATATATATATATATATATATATATATATATATATATAAATAATGGTCGGTGAGCCAAATAAAACAAACAAATCTCTGTAGTGGCATTTTTGTAATTTGACTCACCTCAATCATACAATTTGATGATGAAACTTTAATGATGTTGGTTATGAAGCCATTCCCCTTGAATGGGCCACTTGTATTATTTCTATTACTCTTCCTTTTATAACCCTTCACACAATAATTTCAATTCTTTTAAACACTTTGATAACTAAATCAAATAAGAATCGGTTTTTTTAGTTTATAATTATTCAGTTTGAATCATAAGAGTGTCTGGAGTTCTCAAGTTCGAATCTAATGAGGAATAAAAGTCCCTTGTGGGCATAGAGTTCAAATATGATGACTCGCGGGTGGTCGCCTTAGAATTAGTCGGCTAGCTTAGCGGGTTGGATATCCAGGTTAATAAAAAAAATATATTCAATTTGATTAAAAAAACCAAAGAAGGCTATTTTATTCAGTTAACCAAACTGTTTGAACCGAAAACCAAATTATCTGAAGTTTTTGGGTTATTCGGTTATGTTTTTTTTTTTAATCATTGCTATGTCTTTTACTGGATAAGATTTTTGATCCTTGCTATGTTTGTTATTTGATAAGATTAATGGTCATTGTCATGCTCACTTGGTGAGGGAAGTGCTGAGTACTTATCAAGTAAAATCAGATATTAAAAGAACCTACCATTGGAGATGCTCTAGGGCTACGACTAGTGACACTTGTAGTTTCCATCTTTTGTAAATCAATTTAGAAAACGTTAATGAAACTAACGATAAATTACTACTAAAAACAGAACAAATTAATAACAGAAAACTGTTTTTTTTAAAACAAATATCGATAAAATAAAACTACATAAACCATTCCCTATTTCTTAAAAGATGACAAAACTTAGCGACTGGTTACCAAAATGCTTATCGAGTGTCATTTATTTTTACATAGCAAGCATCACAATGATATGACTCATACAGCGGTTGAGGCTGGTAGGAGCTTGAAATCAAACCCATAACATGTCTTGTATTTGGACAAAATCGTTCCACTCCTTTACTAACGAATTTAGAGTCAGTTTGTTTGCAGCTTAATAAGCTTAATGAGACTCACAACTTATTGGGTTAACTATACATAACTATTTCATGGTGACTTGATGATAGAAAGTGAATTATTCAGTAAACTTTTAGGGAGAGTTTTATGCAGAAAGCCGATTTTTTTTTTCAAACATGACCCCTCCCATTTAAAAAACACACCTCTTTTATCTATAAAAGAACATTCCAAAACAAAAACCTTGCAATCCATACAGACAGATTTATCCACCAAACAACATTATCAAACACAACTTAACAAAAAACCAACCAAAAACTCCTTAACTGCACTTGACATAACTTTAATTTTGTTTTTTTATAGGCAAATTGAATGAAAAAGTGATCGTACTTTGACTTAATTTCTATTTTGGATAACGTACTTTCAAAACTTATATTTTAATACCTAATATGTAAATTTTAAACATTTAAGTATCCGGATAACCGGTTGAAACATTAACCAATTATCATGTTGATTTGACGAGTGATGTGGTATCTAATGATTCCCTTAGGGGTTGTTTGTTTACCTCTTAATGGTTCCATCAAGAGGCAACCTCTGAATCGTTAAGAGATGATTATTGTTTGGCAAAAAAAAAGTATGTCTTTTAATGGTTCTAAAACCCTCTGAATGGTTTTGTATCTTATGTATCCCTTAACCATTCAGCACTCTAATTTCATTTTGAATAATTACCAAACAATTATATTTCATTTTGCACTATATTATAAGAGTCTCTGAATCATTCTGACCACTTAATCATTTTGCACCAAACTATTCAGCAACTGCCAAACAACCCCTAACTCAGTATTATTTGTTGACGTGGTCAGTGACATGGATTTATTTAACATATTTTAAAAAGAAGAAACTAAAAAATATGACTTTCCCGTCAGAGGGAAACTAAGAGGAATATACATTCAACTGAAGAAGCCAGCTAGATTATTGGCATAACCCACATAGCTATCATATACCAATTAGTCATAAAAGATGAGCATTATAGTTATCATATACCAATTAGTCAGAACATTAAAACGTTCTTCAAAAGTTTAGATAAATTAGTTGATACTAATGATCAGCCATTAATATTTTTCCATTTGATTTTGTGTAATCTGGATTCCTTGGAAGCTGATGAATCCCAGACTTGGTGAGAGGTATGAGAATCCTAGTCAATTAAAGCAGTGTTTGACTAACTATACTGTTGCAAATGGCTACCAACTAGAATACCTGAAAAATGATTCAGAAAAGGCAATAGAGGTGGGAGGATACCATCATATGTAGGGGTCTCTTATAATCCAGTTATGGGAGAAGCAATGATTGGGGTAATCCATTATTTGTTTTTCAGATTCAAATAACATTTTTTATGACTATTGCTTAGATTTTATCTTCATCATTAAAGACATCCTTAGGTGTGCCACAACCAGCATGGCCCGAAGGCATCCTACCGTATTCAATTTCAAGAGAGGCTGTTGTTAACGATGAAAAACGTGATGAAGGTGATACTACTGTTGGTGATGAAGAATATTATAAAAGTGGTGATGTTGTTATACATCAAGAAGGGTTACAAGAAAGTCAAATGACTATATCTCCACCAGAAATTAATGATGCAAATGAATAATAGTTCATACTTCATACCATGACCTTAACATAGATTAGGCATTACTTTGGTGTATTTTAGCGCAACTTTTGGTATATTTGACGCAATTGTTATTATTTTCTTAGTGCAACTTTTGTTACATATTTTGGCTCAACTTTTTGTATATATTTTGGTTGGTAAAATTATGCTCAGAATTTGTATGCAGATTATTATGTTTTGGATACAGCTTTTGTATGTTTTGTGAAGAGTAATGAGAATGATATATTTGTTTTTTTTATTTTTATAAATGTAAGTACTTTTTTCGTTAAAAAATGTTTAAAGACTTGATCGTTCAAAATATGAAAGTCTATTGGTTTTTTCGGACTTTTCCACTAACAAAATGTATTTAACACATTTTAGAAAGTCCAAGGAGTTATTTAACAGGTTTTGTAATGTCCAATGACTATATTTAACAGGTTTTAGAATGTCCAAGTATTTATTTGTTCCAAAAAATTGTCCAAGGACTTAATCATTCCAAACGCTTAAGTCCATTGAGTTTTTCTAGACTTTTCTCTTTCTTTTAATCTAAACTTAGTCTTTAACCGGTTACCTGAGTACTTAAACGTTTAAAATTTTACATCATAGGTATTAAAATAGAAGTTTTGAAAGTACATTACAAAAAATAGATTAAAATACGATTACTTTTTCATACAATTTACCCATTTTCTATAAATCATGTATTAAAATCAAACATTAACTTTATTTTGAATGAGTTAAATTCCACTTTACCTATCCCTTAGAAGCATTACATCCAACCCCACCAATCACTACTATCATTTTCACTTTCACAGTAGTTTTCTTCATCAAATCTTTAAAACAAAAGAAAATCAATCTTGGGCATTAACAACCCAAATCTCTGCTATCTTTGACTTGTACATTCTGCATCAAAGATTGTACTCTTTGCTGGCACCAATCAATTCTTGTTCCCTTTTATATATTCCCCAACCCAACAATGAACAACATACCATGAGCTGCTGCAATCTTTATGTTTTCCAACGGGAAAAAAGGAAGTGGAAATCCAATAGAAAAGAAAGAAAAAGGGAAAACTTTCCCTTTTACCAAACAGACGAAAGAAAATAAAAGCTAAACATTGAATTTTTCTTCAGATTCCTTCACAAAAATCTTGTGGGTTTTGTTCATTCAAACCTCTTGATTAGTGGGTTTGGTTTTTCTTTAATTTATTTGGTGTAAAAATCGCTGTGGATCCAAACAAGGTTAGTGGGTCTCTCTCTCTCTCTTTCTTTCTTTTTGTTCTTGGTGTTTTTGTTGATTTTAGTAGATTTGGTTGAGTTTAATGTGGGTTTGGTTGTGTTTTTTGCAGAGATCTTGTGAAATCGTTTTAGGGTTCTTGGTGATTTGTGGTTCTTTTTAACTGAATAGATTGTAGCTTGTGGATATGTGTTGATCTTAGGGTATAGATTGAAGCAAAAAGATAGTTTTTTGGTGTAGTTTTTGTAACCCTTTATTAGATCATTGTGGAATTAGGAGAACCCATTTTGAAATTGGGGATTTTTTTAGGGTTTTGAATGTGTGTTTAGTTGGTTGAGGTTGAGGAATTGGTTCTATAAGAACCCTAATTGGGGGGTATTGTGGAGATCTGGGATCTTTTTCATCTGTTATGCCCTATGAGGACATTCTTTCCATCTGAATCCTGTAAAGAAACACATCTCAATGCTTTGAATCCTCAATCATGGCTGCAAGTTGAAAGAGGAAAGCTTTCAAAAGTCTCACCTCACTCTCCTTCTTCCCTGTAAGCTTCATTGATTTGCTATTTTTAGTCATATAAACACTGTTTTTTTTTTAATCCATGACCTTCTGACGGATTTCTTGACGGGTTTGAGAATGTATTTGCTTTACAGAAGAATGCTTAAAAATCCGTTACAAGGTCAAGTTGTGGGCTAAATGCACCCTCTACATGTAGGGTCAGGTTCGGGGGAACCCAAAAAAAGAAAATGAAAAACTGAGGAACACCTTCTAATCAATTGTTTGTTTGGTATGCACATGTGCATACAAGTAATTTGTCCGCTATGCACACGTGCATAGAAATCAAAAGACAAAATCAATTACTCGTATGCATATGTGTCTGTGGTGCAAATGGACGGTTATCAGGGTGTTCCTCAGTTTTTCATTTTTTTGGGGGGTTCTCTCTCTATATATATTGCTAAATGCATCAGCATCAAGACTTATTTTTTACATTTTCAATGTATGGTTTGATCTGATACTGATATAATTAGGGGTGGCATATAGCAACACCCTTTAGAAACACTTTGTCAAGAGGTCATTTAGCTGAATAACCCAGATTTTCGTTGTTTTGATTGTGTATACTTTTATGGTGTTTGTAGAGAATCTTTAATCAAAGTTCCCGATCCACCGATTCTTCCATTCTTTAAACCTGTTGATTATGTAGAAGTTTTAGCGCAAATTCACAAAGAACTCGAAACGTGCCCTCCGAATGAGCGGCCAAACCTCTATTTGTTGCAGTTTCAGGTCTTTAAAGGCCTCGGTGATGTTAAATTGATGAGGAGAAGCCTTAGATCGGCTTGGCTCAAAGCAAGCTCCGTTCACGAACGACTTGTTTTCGGGGCGTGGTTGAAGTATGAAAAACGTGGTGAAGAGCTAATATCGGATTTGCTTTCTTCTTGTGGTAAATATGCAAAAGAGTTTGGGTTGATAGATATCGGTTCTGAGCTCCCATCTGTAGCGGATGCTAGTTTACCTGATGGCGTGATGATGAATCGCAACTATTTATCGGGAACTGTTTCTTTTCGAATAGGGGATGAAAAGATAACATGCGATCGGCAGAAAATGGCGGCACTTTCACCCCCTTTTCGTTCCATGCTTAACGGGTGTTTTCTAGAATCGATTTCTGAAGACGTAGATTTGTCCAAAAACGATATTTCGTCAACGGGTATGCGGATTATCAGCGAATTTAGCTTAACTGGCACGTTACCGGAAGTCCCAACCGATCTTTTACTAGAAATCATGGTGTTTTCCAGTAAATTTTGCTGTGAAAAGCTCAAAGATTCTTGTGATCGGAAACTTGCAACTCTTGTTTCCACGAGACAAGATGCGGTCGAACTTATGGAATACGCTCTTGAAGAGAATTGCTCGATTCTTGCTGGATCTTGTTTGCAGGTTTTTCTTCAAGAACTTCCGGAATCTTTAAACGACGAGAGGGTTGTCGAACTTTTAACGAGTGCCAACAGTTTGCATAGATCGATTATGGTGGGTGCAGGCTCGTTTTCGCTATATTGTTTATTGAGTCAAGTTGCTATGGATCTTGATCCGGCTTCTGATAAAGCCGCCTTCTTTTTGGAACAATTGGTGGATTCTAGCGAAAACAGTAGACAGAAAATGGTGGCGTTTCATATGCTCGGATGTGTGAAGTTTTTCAAGAAAGAATATGAAGAATCTGAAAGATTCTTCGAAGCTGCGTTAAGTGAAGGCCATGTTTATTCGGTCGTGGGTTTGGCTAGAATTGGTCAAATAAAGGGTCAAAAGCTCGAATCTTTCGAGAAACTTAGCTCTGTAATTTCGAATTACGCTCCACTCGGGTGGATGCATCAAGAAAGATCTTTATACTGTGAAAATAACGAAAAAAGATGGGAAGATCTCGAGAAAGCTACCGAGTTGGATCCAACGCTTACGTATCCCTATATGTATCGTGCCGCATCTTTGATGAAGAAACAAGAAGTTCAAGATTCAATGGCGGAAATCAACAAGATTCTTGGTTTCAAACTGGCGGTGGAGTGTTTGGAACTGAGGTTTTGTTTCTTTTTGGTACTTGAAGACTATCAATCGGCCATTTGTGATGTGCAGGCGATTCTGACCATCTGTCCTGATTATCGGATGTTTGAAGGGCGAGTGCCGGCTTCACAATTTCAGACTCTTGTTCGTGAGCACGTTCCGAGTTGGACGACTGCGGACTGTTGGTTGCAGTTATATGATCGGTGGTCGGCTGTTGATGATATTGGATCGCTTTCGGTGATATATCAGATGCTTGAATCTGAAGCAGCTAAAGGGGTTCTGTATTTCAGACAGTCTTTGCTGCTTTTAAGGTATTATTCGATTTCTTTTTTGTGTTTTTGTGGTAGTAATTGCACTTCATATTGCTTTGTAGCAGATATGCAGCGAAACAATGTAACTTCTATACATATGTTTGTAGGGGAAAGTTCAGATGATAACCATAGATATTTTGGGAACCGAGAACCAACTAGTTCGTGGGTTATTCATGATGAATTCCCTGGACAATCATGAATATTGAATATTATTCATTATGAATATCATGCATTTTTATCATGAATATGATGTTTTTTCATCATGAATAATTTTCAGCATCAACATTTATGATGACATTCTTCATGAATAAAGAATGAATAGTTGGTTCCTAGGTTCTAAAAACATTTGCCATTCTCATTTGAACCTTCCCCTATAGGGTCGGGTTCAGGGGAAAACCGTAAAAAAAATGAAAAACTAAAAAACTGAGGAACACCTTGGTAACCATTCATATGGATGGTATGCACATGAGCATACAAGTAATTTGTCTGGTATACACATGAGCATACAAGTAATTTGTCTGGTATGCACATGTGCATAAAAACCAAGAAACAACTTCAATTACTTGTATGTGTGCATATTGTCAAGATGAATTATTACCTGGGTGTTCTTCAGTTTTTCGTTTTTTGGGGGATTTTTCCCTGACCCCCTCCCCCCCCCTCTCTCTACATGTGTATATCTTCATTAGACATTCTAACATATAAGAATGATCTTGGAACCATCTATTTCATCTATTATATTAAATAACCCTGAATTATTATGAATATCATGCATATTCGTCGTGAATATCATGCATGACATTCATCATGAATAAAGAATGAATCTTGAACTTGCAATGAGATCATGGCTAATCAAATGCTTATTTCAGGTTAAATTGTCCGGAAGCAGCAATGCGAAGTTTACAATTGGCTCGTCAACATGCATCAAGTGAACACGAACGCTTAGTTTATGAGGGTTGGATATTATATGATACGGGCCATTGTGATGAAGGGTTAACAAAAGCCGAAGAGTCTATTAGTCTGAATAGATCCTTTGAGGCCTTCTTTCTGAAAGCTTACGCTTTGGCCGATTCTAGCCAAGATCCAACTTGTTCTTCGACTGTTGTAGCACTTCTTCAAGATGCCCTCAAATGCCCGTCTGATAGGCTTCGTAAAGGCCAGGTTTGAACTATCTTTATCGTTAAAATCCATGTTTTATTACAAAATCTTTTATGGTCGGTTCACAATCACAACGACAACGTTTCCACTTATGGGAAGTCTTCAAGTTATAGTTGATTATTTGCATGCCTGAGTTGGAATCATGTGAGAACAAATGAGTTTGGTGAGAACACTTGTGATTCTTTGGATGATATATATATATATATATATATAGGGTCATCTTAAGGGGAAAACCACAAAAAAATGAAAAACTGAGGAATGCCCTGATAGTCGTTCATCTTGATGGTATGCATATGTGCATACAAGTAATTTGGAAGCAATTTGTCCGGTATGCATATGTGCATAAAAACCAAGAAACAACTTCAATTACTTGTATGCACATGTGCATACCGTCCAGATGAATGGTTACCTTGGTGTTCCTCAGTTTTTCATTTTTTTTTGGGGTTTTCCCNNAATTACAAAAAAATAAACAAAATTATGATTGGTTAAATAAGATTTGTATAATTTATACAAATAACGTGGTTTATAAAAGTAAACCTTCTCTCTATATATATACACACACACACGACAAATACTCACACTAAGGTTTGAACCCTTGAGGGAGGCTAGGATTTACGGGTAACCCAGATACTGTTCGGCCAATACCTTCACCTTCACCTACTTTCATATACCTTCAGTCACTTTTACATGCATGAATTTGCTAAAGTTTCAGTTATGGTATGCGGAGGTAAATGAAGGTGTGGTGAATGCAAGTGGATGAAGGTAGATGACAGTGATCAAATGTAGATGTCGCCAAAAACAYTGTTCTCAYTGGAACCCAACCCTAGCCTAAAGTTAAAAGGGTAYTGATTTGGGATCTCAAGATTCCCTCCGTCCCAAAACAAGTGTCCAAATTTCTATTTCAGTTTGTCCCAAAATAAGTGTCCGCTTTCAAGGTCAAATACATTCTTTCCAATTCTACCCTTAGTTGGGAGATGGAGAAATTCATTACTCCCCTCTATTATTAATTGTACAATCGTCATTTAGTTAATTAAAAAGTGTAATAGTTASAATACCTTTTTCATTGAAACCTATTCATACATATTTGAGACATTTGACAAGTAGTCAAAACACTAGCAATTTGCATTGTTAACCGACGTTTAAACCATGGCAGGCCCTGAACAATCTTGGAAGCGTTTATGTCGATTCGGGAAAACTAGACCTTGCAGCCGATTGCTACATTAATGCCCTTAAAATCCGACACACCCGGGCCCACCAAGGACTTGCTCGTGTCCATTATCTGAAAAACGACAAGCCTGCTGCCTATGAAGAAATGACGAAACTGATTGAGAAGGCACGGAACAATGCGTCCGCTTACGAGAAGAGATCGGAATATTGTGAACGTGAACAAACAAAGATCGATCTCGAGATGGTCACTCGCTTAGATCCTCTTCGTGTTTACCCTTACAGATATCGAGCAGCAGGTTAGTTTGCTTCAGTTACATTCAGTATTTCTGGTTACACAGTATTATAGAAAATAACACACAACACTACATCAAAATCGGCTTAATAGGACGCCATATATGTGGAAATGTTCTAATAGACTGCTTTATAGRATTTAAGTTTATTGGACCAAACGACTATGCTTTCTATGTAAAAGTGTTACAATAAGTTGATATGACSTTTTTGGGCGTCTTAACAAGTTTTTAGGACATTTTTTTGAAATARAGTGTCGTATTAGCTTTTTATATARTACCTTTTTAGAAATGTCCTATAGACGCATTTTTCAAATAATGTCGTATAAAAAGACTAATAGGAATCTTTATTCCTAACATGTCCTTACAAACTTGTATTGTAACACGTTTATATAGGACGCACAATTGTTTGGTCGTATATATAAGCCTTAGTTCTCTTATAAGGGAGTCCGTTAGGTGATTTGGATATGTTTGACGTCTTATAAAACTGATTTTGTTRTAGTGCAATATCTATATKMSTACATTCATAATAACCGTATCAACTAGTTTTCACCAAACATGATTAGTTTATGGMTTAACAACTATCTTGTTAGCCAACGACCTGCTTATCTTATTTACCAAACAAAGCCGTCCAGTTGGCTTTTCATTAAGTCCTGTATGGATAAAGTTGTCTGTGTGGATTAATTTGTCTATATAGATAGAGAAGGTTTTTGTTTGGGTCGGTTTTTTCATAGATGGAAGGAGCGTGTTATTTATATGGGTGGGGCTGGGTTTTGGGAAAAAGCTTGGCTTTTTGCATAAAGCTCCATCTAAAAGATTACTGAATAAGACACATTCTATATCATTAAGCCACTATCAAACAGTGATGTATAGTTAATTGAATAAGCTGCGACTCTCTTTAAGCTGTTAACAAACAGACCTTAAAACTGCTTAAGATTTTGCTGTATATTATTGCGGGGCTCAAATCTAACCCGGGATTTGGTCTAAATTATATATAGTCTTGATGGACAATCACAAGGAGAAAGAAGCSATTGGAGAGCTATCAAGAGCAATCGCATTCAAAGCGGACTTGCACCTATTGCATTTACGCGCAGCGTTCCATGAACATATCGGGGATGTTTCAGGTGCCATGCGGGACTGTAGAGCCGCCCTCTCGTTTGATCCCAACCATCAAGARATGCTTGAACTTCGAAGCCGTGTAAACAGTCAAGAGCCGTAAAGAGATGATCCAAGAAGTTAGAAAAGAATTAGATGCACAAAATGGTGAGGAGAAAAAGAGAGATTTAGAGTTGTGTTGCAAATGTAAGTCCTCATGAGTGTTGTGTTGTGTTGTAAACATATCCAAGCTTGTGCATTAACATGTGTTTTCTTGTATTTCTCTCCATTGTTTACCCCCTAAATTTTCACTCAAAATTTAGGGGTATCTTAATTGTCAAAGCGTCATTGGCCTACTGGTATCCAGGGGTAAAAGGGTCATTGGCCTACTGGTACCTGAGGGTAAAAGGGTCATTGGTCTACTGGTATCTAGGGCTTAGCTTTTTTGGAGATCAGAAGTTTAAGTTTGAATAAAGATGATAAATGTATTTTCAGTATTTATCGTATATAAATATTATATATCTTAAAAGATATATATATATATATATATATATATATATATATATATATATAAAAGGAGAAATGCAAATATTAATTAACTGATTCAAAAACATTAAAAAACTACAACCACATGGACACCGATTATTAAAAAAAATGCTACCATATGACCAATTTCCATTAGTTTTTTTAAAATAAACCACATGGAAGAGTTTATTTGACCAATTTCCATTAGTTTTTTAAAATAAACCACATGGAAGAGTTTATTTACATTTCATTAAAAGAAATAACTAGAAGGGTACTTGCACAATACATCAAGATAAATTTCGATTTAAATGTTTAGTTATTATTCTTTGTCTCTATCGATATAATATAATTTTATGTGGTTTTAAGAAAGCGGTAATGTTTTTATTTTTGAATGAAATATAAATTTGAAAAAAAATCGATGTTAGTATCAAATTAACTATTTAATAGTTTCCGTTTTTTTTTTGTAACTTCTTTAATTCAATTTTTTATTATAATTTAATTTAGAGTTAATAACAAAGTTTGTTTTTGGTTTAATAATATAATTTTTTATAAAGATAATAATTTAACATTTTGTTTGAACTTAATGATTATCTTAATTATATTTTAAATTTTCTATATTTAAAATGGATGTTTATCCTATATTTGATTATCTATATTTGTAGTTAGTTACACGAATTTAAAAATACAGCTTTAATAAGTTGTACTTACGCAAAAATTACTTGTAATCTTGAATTTTAAGTAATATGCATCAATAAATAGTACTTCATGTATAAAAAATTGTTTCTAAGAATTTTTGTCAAATGTTTTATAATATAGTATAGATAGAGTTTAACTCGTATGAATTTTTTTACGAAACGTAGTGTGTCAATTTCATAAATTGATGTGTAGACACGTGTCATCTTTATAGATTCTTGTGCAAACACATCTAGTATGGATGCAAAGTTATTATATGTTTGAAAAACTAACTGATAAGTTAACTGGTAGGTGATAAGTTAATCATAAATAAATAATGTTTAGTAAAACTAATTGATAAGAATGTAAATGATCAAAAGGATATCTTGAAAAATAATCAATTATAATATTTTAAAATATAATTGAATTGAATCTCTAATAATATAATATATTAACTAATTAATACAAACAAGATAGTAAAAAATTAGAAAAAAAATATATTGATTAAAGGAATTACACCAAAACACAAGAACTTTTAAAATTTTAATTTGATATTGATATCGATATTTTTTTTCCAAAATTTTATGATATTTTCGAATTTATATTTTTTTAAAAAATAAAAACATTATCGCTTTCTTAAAACCACATAAAACCGTATTATATCGACATAAAAAAGAAATAAAACGAAACACTGAAATCAAGATTTGTCTCGATGTATTGCACGAACATCCTTCTAGTGAATAAAAAAGTGTTTACCTCACATATCTTAATTAATAAATAWATTTAATAAATAAATAAATTATGCAAATTATTTAACACATTATTATCTATGAAAA